ACGCAGAAGAGAGCTGATCAGACTATAAATCAAGATGTCTCTGTTATATCTCGGTTCAGATCTTTTGACAGTATATTGCTTGTTTTCCTCGCGTAACATGGCAGCTGGCTCCACATCAAGAGTATAGATGTACACTACATAAAGATTCCATTTCCAGCCTCCTCTTGGATGGTGAAATCTAACAACACAAATGTTATGGAGCCAGTCAAATCCAATCAAGACTTTGCTCATAAAAAAAACAAACTTCTGGTACTTTTGAAAGCCTTTCGTCTTGGCTTCATTCCGGACTTAAGAAGATGATGTATGGTGGATAGCTTATTAGTTAAATTGTGCTTTGAAATCCACAGCACAGTGACTCGGTTAATATGTAAATACAGAGAGACAACTGCAAATTCCAGCAGCAGAGACAGAACAGAGTTCATCCTTGGGTTTATTTGTTAGAAATCTCTGCAGGGAAAGATTGCAAAGTGTTGTACATCCTGTCTGTGGCCAAAAGGCAATTACTGCCAGAAAGCTTTTGACTCCTCCTGATTGTGTGATGCCTTTCAAAAAATTACACAGATTTCACATCACATGCTGAGCATACCTCGGCTTCAGTTGGGAGCCTCAGAAGAAAATCCTGACATTCGTGCACACCACCCCCAAGCCCCGTATCTACTGTGGGCTTTATGTTGTCTGTGGGGACGATGAAAGACAAATAGAAAGGGGTGCTGCTTCCACTCCCCGGTCAGCACTGCAAAAAATGTCCATCTTAACAAGTCATTTAGTGTAGTGTTGATTCTAGAATCACATTCGTATTAACAGAAAGTGACAGCTTTGGCAGAAAGGATGACGAGCGCACCGGTTTGTAATACAAACCAATTTTTTTCTTGACAATATCAGAGTGATGAAGACACTGTGTGTTGTAAAACTTGAGTTATTCACAATTGACCAGTCGCTAAGTCTTGCCCCTTGAATTCAGACTGGTCCATCATAGCGTAGCATCGGCCGGCTCCGACCACTACGCAGTTGTGCTCTATAGACTCTCATGCAATGGTTTCACATTTTCAGGCTCATCATTAAACTTTGTGTAATAATGATACTCGTTACCCGGAGAGAAACGTTACGTGTCTACGTAAAAACCCATGGAGCTAACATTAGCACAGTACATTAGCACATCATTAACAAGCGTTTTGAAAGCTCATTTTATTGAAAACATTGACACTGATACAAACGCCAACTAGTTGAGTCTTCTTGTTTGAACTTTTTGAAAACTCATTGGTAGCATTGAGCCAAAAAAGATTGCTTGCTAATATACAGTAGGCTACACAGCCTGCGCTGTTGTTTCTTAGCAAGAATGAATGTTATATTAAATGTTATTTTCAGTGAATTAATGTCAGTACTACTATCTCAAGTTATGAGATCACTTTGAGGGATTACCTCAGAGATGGCAGCAACGGAGGCCAACATTTGGTTGCAATGGTTAAATGCCTGTAACTAGTGTACTTCTGCTGATGAAATTCAGAGCGCAGATACTGACAGTGATGAACCGAGCAGAAGAGAACAATAGCAGACAGAGGGACAGTAGCGAATGGAACAGAATGACAGCCAACCAAAGAGAAAGAAATCATTGGGAGAGAAACATTTTGAAATGTTTTCATTGTATTTAGGGTTACTTAAATGTCCCATATTAGCCGGTACGTCCCCTATGTTTGTCTAAATTGACTGCTACTCTGCTTTGTTAACTAGGAGGCACGCTCACGTCTCAAACTGTGATTTCTTTGATCATTTACTGTCTGTATATTCACAAAATCTGACATGACACAGTTTTAGTAAAGCTATAGACTAAATGGAATGAATAAGAATATTCACACAACAACATACCCACACCGCCGAGGCAACGTGCACCGGACAAAAGGTGGCGCGCCACTGTCGCTTATGTGGTGCTGAGAAAGTTGGCAAGATAATTGTAATGTTTGGAGAACGTATTGAATTGTATCGTCGGAGAAAATCTTTGATGTTTTTTTACAAACATGTAGTTAAATTGTTGTCTGTGCCTGGATATCATATAACTCCCATCTGTAGGTAATGTGTGGCTTTTATGTGTTAAAACACGGTTTCACTAAACTGTCTACTTTGTTCAACAAAATGTTTTGTGTTGAGTAAGGACCTTATCATTTCTATCAGAAATCCACTTATAGGCAACCCCATTCAAAATGTGAAAGAATGATGTCAAACATTTACCAAATAAAAGACAACTTTATCCGTTTTGCTATCCATGATATGAAGACTCAATGTATAAAAAGCATTCGTACTGCTGACACCTTATAACTGCACAGTCCTGACTGCCATTTGCCAGTTTTCTACAAAGTGACAATACTTCAAACCGACATTGTTATGAAATGATTCCATCCCAATGGGAGGCTGTTATCAGCCCTTCTGCTCAACTCAGTGTTGGACGGCACGGCTTCTTAAGCTGGATACTTTTTGCAGCGTGCCCCCAGAAGCGTTCGGGTTGCACCAGCGTCAGTCAGGGGCCTCAACACTGACTGACACTCTGTGAATGATAGTGAAATCTAGCAGGTGCATTTGGCTTGCATACCTCTGATCAGTACACCACTGTGCTTGTCTTCTTAGCTTGCTCTGTAATAAGCTCCTTCAAAGATCAGTATGTACACCCTCCTCCCCGCCTCGCTCCCTCCTGATAAGATCTGGAATATGTAGTTCTCTCCTTCCCTTTATTCCCAACTCTTTTCGTTTTCTTAAGAAAATGTCAGTTTAATCATATCTTAATGCTTTGATAATGGGGTTCTTTTACACGGGCGGAGAACAGTCACTTCAGTGTCTTAAAAGCCCAGGATGTGGAGGGAAGGAGAGAATGTCTCTAAATTAAATTTGCTCGGGCCCTGCCTCGGCGCTGTGAATGTGTGTGTGTGTGTGTGTGTGTGTGTGTGCGTGTGTGTGTGTGTAATCGGAAACTGAGGCTCTTTTTCACCCCTCTCGACAATCACACAAAACATGTAATTGTTTCATGTGCGCAAGTGGAGACTATTAATATTTAAATGTCAACTTGCTTGATTTAAATACTTGTGAGAGTTTAAGTGGAGACAAAACAGGCCAAAAACCTGCCTCTTTAAATGTATGTATTGTGCTCTATCTTCACTGCTTTACTTAAGCACTTCACATGACGACAAGTCACTGGCCATGTGTGACTGTGCGAGCTTCTTTTTACCCAGCATATTTCTGTCTGCTGTTTTAAATATAAATTATTTCAACGACAAATGGCCAGAAGGAAATGGCAAAACAAGAGTGAAGGAATGAATTATTTGTAAAGTGCCACTGCGCACCAACAGAGAAGGAGGGAACGCCAGTGGTCCCCCAAATGGAAGTGCGTGTGCGATTGTGCAGGTGTGAAGCCAGCTGCTGGGCTCCTGAACGCCCCCCCACTTCCTCTGTCACTCACAATGACAGACAGGTGAGGCGGCAAGCGCACACACACACACACACACACACACACACACACTCCCTCAACTACAAGTGCACAACTGTCCAGGTGTGTGTTACTCCGACGCCATCGGGGAACAGTGCACTGAACTTATGCTACTCTGGGGTAAAAAACAAAGAAAGTTGTTCGTGTTAGGTAAAGGCGCTGCTGCTCAAACAAACCCTGAAATTGGTTTGCATTGTGGAGGAAGAAAACTTGGAGCAACACCACCCACTTTCAGCCGTTTAGACAGTGCGAGAGGGAAAGACCAGAGGGCATATTTAAACAGCCCTGTGGCTCTTCCATGTTGCTGTCAGTCCGCTTGGAGGCTGCAGCATTGTCTTGACCTACTTGTGACTCGTTATTGCGCTGAAGTTAGAGGGATGGCTGACAAAAACAGCTCAACAAAGGGAGGGGGAGAAAGAAAGAAAGAAAGAAAAAACAGCTTAAGAACAAATAGCCATTTCTGGTGGAGTTTCGAGTTCTAATCAGCGAAGCAGAAGCCAGCAGAGAGCAGGGGAGTCTGCGCGCAAAAAAACATTATCTGCGTCTCAAGATGGGTCCTTGACTAATCCCGCTGTCTGAGCTCAACGCTCCCAAGATGCTCCGAGAGGAGAGACGGAACACTGGAGGAGAGGAGGTGGTGTGTGGAAGGGGACCGTGGATTCAACAGAGGAAAAAAAAAGCCAGTTTTGTCTTCCCAGAGGCCAGCGTCAGCTCGGGGACAACATTTTGGCCCTAATTGCGCTCTCTCCACCAGCAGCAGATTATGGTCGGGCACCCCCTTGTAAACCCAAACAATCGACTCTGTTTGCTGCTCTAGATCCTTATTAGCGTCACACTCATTTTGGCCAAGTATTCAAGACTCCGGTGTAACCATTCTACGAAGAAGAAGAAAAAAAAGCATCATCAAACTGCTAGGAAGACGTCGCTCCCCCCTCCCCTTTCATCTTTTAATTAGTTAGTTTGCATTGGCTGCTACAGTAAGCGGAGGATTTGTTATTTATTTGCTGAAACACAGGCTGCCACATTATTGTGTGGCTCCACGCAGGCTGCTGTCCTCTTTGATTTGGGCTAATGGAGTCCCACCAAGCTACATAATATGTGCTGTATGAAAAGCCCCCCTAATTCCAAATCATCTTAAAGGGGCGATGCGTACGGCGAGAGAGAGAGTGTCTGCACAATGCCGAGAAAAAAAGAAAAAAGGAAAGAAGAAAAAGAAAAAGAGGGAAATAAAAGAGAACACAAAAACTCCATGTGATTTCCGCTTGGACATGAAGCCAATTTGTGTTCACAGAATCATTTTTTACTGCCATTCACAGTGAATGATTAAAGGGGGAGCCACTTCACATTGATCTCTCGCACAAAGCTCAATAAGCAACCGAAGCCGAACCGGGAAATGCAAAGATTCCGCGTTCCCGGGCCGAGTTGCACCGCTGTGATTTGTGTGTTGCAAGTTATTGAGCTCACAGTTTGCAGAAGGTGGCGATATTGTACACTCAACGTATTTAGCACTGAAAATACATGTTCAACTTACGGCGTTTAATTGTGCGGTCATTTCCAAGTGGAGGACTTCGTGTGGAGTGAAAGGAGAGTCCAGTGATGCGGCGAGCGAGCGTCTAAGCTGTTGCAGACTGCTGCTGCTTAGCAGGACTCTGTCACTGGCACTCTGTAAAACTGTCAGGGTTACCATTGAGATGAATCTAAAACTGGCCACGGGGGTTATTTTTAGACTTGGCTGCAGGATAAAAAGTTTCTGAGCCCCAGAAGTAGGTCAGCTCAAGTGGTGTTCAGATTGCTGTTATGTACAATTACTGAAAAGTGGCATCTCCGGTCGAGAGTAAATTTCTAATCCACACTCCAGTGAATGAGCAAGTAAACTTCTCCCTCAACTGTTTTTTTTTTTTTTTTTTTTTTTTTTTTTTTTTTTAAACCTCCCTAATCCACAAACAGTTTGTTCTATAACTTGGTTTTCTCCGGGTACCTGACGTGAGTTGTTGTCAAAAACCAGATGTTACAATGTTTTGCTGCCGGCTGGAGATTTTGTGACAGATCTAATAGTTTCCTACAGCTACTGTACGTTTCCCTCACCATAACCCCGAGCATCACTACAGCGCTGTTAGTGCTCATGCCGAACATTAGAGCGCCACCGCGTCTAAACATGTACGTCCAACCTTTTCCTTTTCCTGTACTAGATATGTTAGAATGCAGCCACTTGCCGGGTTAATTTGAATTACAAGTGCATATGTGAGTTACAGTATGCAGGGTTTCCTTTGAAGTTGTGTGCATTTTGTGTTTGCTGCTGGTCCATGGTCATAGCAGAAAACATCACACATTGTAAAGTGCTTTTATCTTGCCAGTTAAAACCTTTTTACTTTCCATGGGGGTTCAAGGGGCAGGTTTCCATACAGTTTACAGTAAACCATATTATGAGAGCGAACGCGGTCAAATAAACCCCCGCTGTAAACCCCGGCGCCGTATCACGACTGTGTGTTCAATTGCATTAATTGAATAACAGGAGGAGAGCAGGTGACAGCGCTGGAGTGAAAATGATGAGCGACCGCTACAGTGGCGCGGCCTCCATTCCAACTTTGACAGGTAAACAATCTAATTGATTTTTCCGCAGCGTCTCGCCGGACTGTTCCGACGCCACATTTCCAGTTTAAACGCGGACCGTTCTCGGTGTTTGCAGAACAGACAAGCCCGTCAGCTGTAGCACTGAAAACATGTCAAGTTAGAACGAGTAATTTGTGGTGATGAATGACAAGTGCAGGCTCCTGTTCAGTAGTCTGAGCGCTCATTAGAAAACACATTTTCAGATGTCACCAGGCTTCTGTGTTTTTGTACTTTTTGGGTAGAATAAACAAATATCGCTTGAATACTGCAATGTCACAGAAACGAGCAGAAGGAACTTAAACCTCAATTGACATGTCTCACGCATGCAGACTTTTTTGAACGTTGACAGCCATCTGTGTGGATTCCTTTCACTCTCCACTAATGAGCTGTGGGTTGAGGAGACCCAATCTACACAGGCCCGTCCCTGGGGCCCCGTGCAGCTGCCGGGCACACACACTCGTGCGCACGCACATACACACATATACACACACACACACACACACAAACACCCCCACCTCTCTCCCTCACACACAAACAAACACACAAACACATGCAGCCACCAGCATCCCTCTATGTTTGAAAGCACACTTTGGCTAACTAAGATCTGAAGTCGCACAACTTCACATGGAGTATATGTTTTCTTGCACCACACACATCCTTGTGTGCCAACTAGAGAGCGTCAAAAGTGCCAACAGCAGAGAAAAAGAAAAATGTGTCCAAACAAAAATACGAATGCTGCACATGATGCTACCACTGTTTTTGTTGTTGTTGTTGTTGTTGTTTTTACAGAGATGTGAGATAAATTATTTAATTGTGTACCTTCTGTCTATGTGTGTCTTGGTCCTGGTATGTGATTGTGGGCATGTGCTCTCATATTTCTGAGCAGTAATGATGTGAGAGAGAGAGCGAGAGAGAGAGAGAGCGAGAGAGAGAGAGAGAGAGAGAGAGAGAGAGACAAACAGACTTCATGTGCAAAAAGGGAGACAGTGCGAGAATATGCTATTAAGTCAAAGTTTGCACGGCTATTCACGCCCCCCCCCCTCACATTCCCGTACCTGTGAACGTTGTGACAATGTGCGGAAATCTATTTGATCCCTATCGCGCGCACAAAAGCAGATGAGCTGGAATGCCACTGATACAGTGTGTGAATAGGAAATGACAGGAAGAGCCTAATCAATGTCCTCCAGGACTGGCAACCGGCTTGCCTTTGTTTCTTTTTGTAAATACAAGCCTCTTTAACATCACAATATAAGCCATTATCTCGCCTGGCAAGGTAAATTTTGGGGGGAGCCGCACAAAAACATACATTTTTCCCCCTCAGCTTGGAGCAGATCAGTCGGGCGAGATCTAAAGTCATGCAAATGTTACTGTAGAAAAATACTGGCAAAACTCATTTTAATTATTCCATATCAGCACATTTGCATGGAATGGATTTTTTTAAGAAGGGAAGAGTTTATGATCAGTGGAGCTTGGGCACGGGGGCTGTTTAGGAATTCACAGCATTTTGATCTAATCACAAAATCAAAATATTCATGAAACACAATGATATCTCCCTGAAGCAGGCGGCTAGCCATTAATTTTCAAATTCAGGTAATTTATTAACACTTATCAGAGGCTGAAAAAGCCTTGCTCTGTGTTTGTAAAGTGGCTGAGAGGGAGAGAGGAGTTCGAGAAAACTGATTCCAGATGATTTATAACGGTGTGCTCGGTGCATTTTCAACCAGGTATTCAATTAGAATGTATGTCCAATTTTCTATTCTAGATCTACAGTTAAAAACTCTATTAAAGCACCATTTTCCTTAGCATACATATCTATTATCAGCATTCATGGCAAATTTGATAACTCTGGCTCTGTCATTGTGCTCTTTTAATGCTCATTGGTGTCTTTCTGTCATTAATTGAAAGACGTTTGACTAGTCTACACACAAGATGCTGCTTGGACATATTTTTCTTGCCTGTGAACACTTCCCTTTAGTATTCGTTCCGATGAATAAAGCCATCACCAACTAAATCAAATCACAACTGCAACCAAAAACACTGCAACTACTGCAAGGGACCATTCCCTGAGCCCTGCCTCCCTCAGTTAGGCCAGTGAAGCTTTCTATCCTCACATGGCACATTCAGTATGCAGTTTACAATAATGGTGGCAGGTTTACCACTCTAAGCACTTATTCATTGCCTAAACAATGGCTCCTTGATTTTAGACAGAGGCAGACAAAGCTCCCCATTTCTACAGCCGCTGGTGACCTTCGATTTCGCCGGCTGAATTGACAACCGTAAGATTTTATCAGCTCCAGCTAGCTCGTTAACGTTAGCGCCATGAACTGGTTGAACTTCTAAATGTTTCCAGCTGACATACAATGACGTTTTGTGACTTCATGACACACTATGACTTTTTAGGGATACTATACTACTTAATGACACCAATAGGACATACTATACTATGACATTTTGTATCACATTTTTTTAATTCCGGACACGTTTTTAAATCTTTCAACATTACAAGAAGTTAAGCTAGCTTAACGTAGATGGTGCACTAGCTAGCCGATCATGCTAACAGTTGCAGCTAACATTAGAGCAGACAACCAAACTTCTTTTTATTGTGTTTTTGTTTTTAAAAAGGTGATTCTAAAATAGGAAACCACCCTCTAAACTCTTGCTGAGTACTTAATAATACCCCAAGCTATGATTGGACAATCGCTGCTTGGGGGAGGGGTTTAGCAAACAGTCAATTGTCATAATAAGATATTATTGTTTTTCTCGTGATAGTTGCTGTTGTCAGCATCAGTACAGCTAAAGTCACTGTTCTGTTCATTACCAATTATCTTTTATATTTCTTTTAAGATTACAGTCATTAATATACAATTCCGTACATGAGCATCGACAAAGCATCCATTCATGTGGTGGAGACCTCAGATTTCCTACTGTACAAGTGAAAGATATATCCAATAAGGTGAAATGTTGAGCAACAGCTTTAGATAGAACAGACTGTCAACTCGGGCCATCTGTGTGTATGTGAATCCATCTGGGTGCATGTCTCCTGAGGGAGTCATCTTCTCTCAACTGTAGCTTATATCAAGTGTTCAACGCTTCTTGCTCTACTTTAAATCCACGGAGCATCTTTCTTTTTTTTCAAACAGGTAAAGGGAGCGAATATCAATAAGCATGGTCATTAATATGCACTTTGATGCTGCATCTATTATGGGAATATGCTAATAAAGACAAAATAATACATAAATAAAAAAAACATTTGATTAAGTTATTGTGAATCATATCTTCCCAGAAATAGAAAAAGCCCATCTTTACATGTTCAGAATGAATATGGAGATTCTCATTGCATCATTGGAAAATCATCAAGGGGATTGTGTGGGCGTTGCTCCTTAATCATTTTACTCCACTGTGCCAAGATTATATCTCATCCCAACCATTGTATATTTAGTCATCGCCAGGAAACAGCCAGTGACACATCTTCCCACTGTTCCACAGACAAAGTGGGCTGGGGAAAAGGATGATCCAAGGACAGGGTTAAAAAAAACAGAAGGCCTGGATCTCTTTGTCTCCCGGTAATATTGCCGAGTGGATTCAAACAGCCCCCTGAAGCTGAGCTGAGCCGAGCCCCGAGCTGTGATGGCGACGTGATAACAACCAGATAGATCAATACAAGTGTTGTAAAGGTTAAATGATGTTATGTTGTTTGTTGTTATTGGACATGGCATGTCACACTACATGATACTGACACCTTTTTCTGCCCTTCCTCTTTCCCTGCTCCAGGTTGGGTTGAGGCCGAGGCCCCGCGGTGATCCCAAGAAGAGGGTCAAGTGTTGAAGCATTTGCCCACTCAGCCAGTGAACCGTCGCTCGCCATGGCGATTTATCCTAGCTGCAGCTTAAAGGTGCAATAAATACAATTTTAACTGCCTCACAATCAAAATGACATAAATCTGTAAAGCTTTTTGGGCTTGTTTGGTCCATGTGAATG